CCCCAAAACCCCAAAACCCCAAAACCCCGTCAAATTTAATTTTTTTTTTAGATATAAGTAATTATTAATCTGATTTTTACAGTATTACTAAAGCATTAATAAAATAAAAATGTTAGCAGACTCTGACTTCACTTAAAAAAGTGGCATGGGAACTTCTATGTTTTCAAGGCCAGGCAAGTTCACTACCTTTTAGCATTTGGCTTTCAATGGAAAGGAGTACTAAATGGACATAAATGAGGTGCGACTAGACATGAAGAGACCAAAGAGAGCTGCTAATTCACTTAACACTAGTATAAATGCTGGATCAGGAGGAGGTGGAAGCACTGGTGGTGGCGTAATAGGAAATAATATCTCAAAGTCATCTAATGATAACTTACTTAGTCCTTAGATGATAAAGACTATTAAGAATTTCAACATGGACTAGGATTAGATTACCTAAAAAATGATGGAGATAAACAAGCTTTAATAGCAGTAATAAGAATATGAGCAAGCCATGAAACTTAAAGATTAGAAAAAGGACAGATTTAGCAATGGAAAGAAGTCTATGTAAGTTAAGAAAGTAGGCGATTCTTCATTCCTGGGTGTGAAAAGAGAAAATGCTCCAATATCGATTGTAAATTTCCTTCTAAGTTATCAAAAATATTTTAGTTCAAGAGGAGAGATGACACCAGGGAAAACTTGTTTAAGTACAATCCCAAATTTGACCTGGTAGATAAGAAACAAACTCTGAATTTTAAGTTTGACTATGGAATCAAGGGTGTTCCTTCTGAGAAGTCAGATGCCAGAATATGCGGAAAGCTTTAAAAGTAATACCTTATTTATGTCAACTTTACAATAATTATAGGCTATGCGAGAAAATTGACGAGGAGTATGAGCAGAGTATAATTGGTGGTACCACTTAAATCGGAAATTCCTAGATATACAGCAACCTCAAATCCCAGAAAACAGCCACAAAACAGACTAACTTCATTAGTTCACCAAGAGAAGACAAATTGAATGAATCAGTGATTGTAAGGTCGGCAGTCCCAAATCAAATGCGAAACACTCTATAAAGCAGCACAATGAATCAAAGCGTCAGAATGGAGAAACTTAAGACACAAGAAAATATGATGAAACTGACCTAGTTCTACAGTGATGTTAAGGATGCTAAGAAGGAAGAAGATGAGGAGAAGGTGGGTATGTGCTTGATTGATCTAAATAAAAAGAAAAGCAGAGATTTCTACTATGATCACATCCCAGGGCCTCACGAAGGCAGGTTTGAAAATATAAATAAGCTACCTGAGCCAATCACTTAGGTCAAATACATTTCATCACCAGACTTCAGAAAATACACAAATAGGAAGCCAGTATTCCCGCTTAATAAAACTGATAAAGAGACTGAAATGGATCAATCCCCTTACAAGCCAGGCGATCCCTAGTATAATCCAAGATATGATAGACACAAGAAGAACTTGTCCTTGGGTATTCCAGATTTCAACAAGATGCTTCAGAGGTCAGAGTTCTGGGAGGGCAGACATTCAATCCCAGATCATTATGACAGTGACAGCATAATAAAGGGAGTTGAGATGCAGTCGAAATTCAAGAGGAGACAATAGCCCATTGGTTTTGATAAAATGCTCCCAAGAGATGAGAGAATGTTTTTCATTAACGAGGGAAATAACTTAAAACAAAAAGAAGAGTCTATTCTTGAAAAACTTCAGAACTTGGACGCTTATCCCAGGAAAATAAACTTAAAGAACATGCTACTAAAACACTCCAAACAGGGTAAGGCTATGAGTGCCTATCACAATCCAAAAGGAGATGATGGTAGTATCTCAATGAGCTCAATAGCATTTAATAGTGAAAACGGCTCAAGAGGCTATGGAGCAGGGAAAAGACTAAGTCTAGAATAGAAAATACTTGCAGGATACTACAAGATAACCAGTGATGAGATGCAAATATGATGGCTTGATTATTCCCCAATATACATTATAATAACTTAATTTCATCAATAATATCATTATCATTTCTTTATCATTAGAGTTGCGGGGTTTTGGGGTTTTGGGGTTTTGGGG